TCAACATTGTACTACCAATGTATTTAAACTAAATGTGAAAAAAACACTTTATTAGACATAAACTTAAGGCTTTTTCAAGTAAATTGTTACGTCAAAAAAATAAAGTACGAAATCATCATCGGCTTGGGCCTAAAACGTAATTTTAACAACTTATTCTTGAAAATTCCAGTATAATAATTTTAACTTTTTTAAAAATCATAATTTTAAAATCAATTGTAAAAATACTCAAGCAATACTCAATAAGTAATAATAATTTTTAAAATATTTTGTGCGTCTTGAATAATTTTGCAATCAATTTTAAAATTGTTAGACTGAAGTTATGAAGAAGTTGTAATATTACGTATTAATTTTGTACTTAATTGTTTGATTAGACAATTTCTTTGAGATTCCTCAATCAAAAGATGGATTTTATGTCGAATAAACTGTTTTTTCACCTGAAAACGTTTTTAAACATATTGGTAGTAGATAAATTCAAACTCAAGTTACTTACATGCAATTAAATAAAACGAATTCTTCGAACAATAACTGAGGAAACTGAAACACAAGAGAAAGCAACAGAAGCTCTTAAGACTACGCATCACTATACCGCTGTGCTAACACCACATTAATCGAGCTTGCACGAACTTGCGATTGCTTCTTCAGGAAACACTGTTGACGCGAACGGTGCGCAGATGCTCGACATTGGAAATCCGCGACGGTTTGCGTCAGAAACTTTGCTTCTAGAAGGTTCCATCGAATGAAAACAACTATGAGGATAATTGAATACAATAACAAGTGAGAGAGTAAACGTGTTGAAAGTGAAAGTGTGCTTCTTCTTCCAGACCAATTTTTGTCCCATAATGTAAGTAATTTAATTATTCTGTAGATTAATAATTTATTGTTTGCAGTATAAGATAACAAAAATGTTGATTTTGGCGTTTGTTAAAATCTCAAATACACAAAACTATGTAAATGTGTAGTAGTCGAAACATTTATTAATTAATATCAATTAAATTAACAGATTTATATTGAAATGGTAAAAATCCCATAATATATAGAACAAATTAATATGCTAAGGTAATAACAGTAACTGGAACTGCACTCTGAGCAAACAATCATAAAATTATTTATATTTTATTCCTAACATAACAAAACGGACTTATTCAGAATATAATAATAACTGCAATTATAAATGTTATGAGTACACCAGAAAATCCAACAATAGGTGATCGGTAGTTTGAATTGAACTAATGCAACGAATAAAAATAAATATTTTTTGGAAAAGTATTGAAAAGTACTGAGGCAAAACCCTCATCATCAGAATTTGGCGAAGGTTTGGTTAATATTTCACTGTTAAAATTTTTGTGGTAATTTTACAAAAATAGCAGAATAATGTTATAAGGCAAGACTACTCTGTAAAAATCTAATAATACAATATCAATATTGTAATTTATTTTGCTACAACTTTTTACTGAAAAAGTTCATGATTATTACAACTCACTTTTGTGAAATTACTGAGAATATTACCTAACTATATATAGTAAGGCCAGGACTAAAATATGCTTCAGAATGTTTGATGTAGGTAATTATTCAGTTGCAAATTTAAACAGGTAATAGTGGATATGCTAGTTTAGACTTCACTTAGAACCACCATTCAATTTTAATAAGAACACTAAGTTGGAACTAAAATTTTGTGATATTAGTGTGTTAGCTTGACAGACATCCTCAAACCCAATGATTTTGAGTCAATAATTGCTTTTTACATATGATAAAAGTTCGCTTTAGAAATTTTACCAGATTTTCATTATTGTAAAGGTCTTTAGTAGAGATTAGAACCAAGGAAAAATATTCCGGGTTGGTGTTAACAATCAGGTTTGATTCCAATATAATAAATTAGGTTTATAGACATATTTTTTATTGTAATTTCACATGCGACGCGCTTGGTGAAAAGCTATTAACAACTTAGGACCTACATATTTATTTGATGAAATATGAGTTGATTTGTTCTAGTATTCTACTATTCAAAAATTTAGGTAACGGTCATATTTTACGAACTCTTATTGAATTTCAACATCTTTTTCTAATTAATATTATCATTTTAGACAATCCAATTTATTATAAAATAGGTAATTTGTATTTCAAAAGCGATTTGTTTGATAAATCCTGTAAACATAAAAATACTAGTACCTTAGTAGAACAGCTCTAAACTACAACAAATAGGTGTGCGTAATTAAAAAACAAAACGTAATTTCTAACTGTTTTTCATCATGGTTTTCCGAACAATCTGGAAATTTGTTTTGCCACGCCACCTACCGTGTTCGCTATTGATCATGTAACGACTGGAAACTCATTTCAAGCAAAATTTCCATTTTTTATCAGTAGATAGAAATGCAGATTGCAGAATTAACATCTGACATTAAGATTTTAATTCAAAAAGCTAATGAACATTGTTTAGAAACACTATTCCAAACCAGTTTAGTTTATTCGAAGATTCAGAGTTAAAAATGTAATTCATATTTTTTTCATAAATATGCTGTCGTTGTGTACGAGCTAATTCAATCTTTTGAGCTAATTGCAAATATAAAATTTACTTGAGAGTTTAAAAATAAGAAAATTCAGCGTTCAGTTTGATAAATTTAGTTGTTTTCTAGTTTATTTTCCTGGAAAACGGTTCATTACGCTACCTATTGCCGTTATTGCAAAAGTCCTTACCCGAACGGGAAATTCAGCCGAAGGAAACACTATATAATTTCCATTCTTCTAAGTACTTTTTAACCGTTGTTGTAGAAATCTTCGCAAGCTTAAAACTGGGCAATGGAAAGTTAGCTTTTTGCATAATGCAGATTTGCATTGAACTGATTATATCTTAAACTTTTTTATTTCTTCCCGATTTCCTACAATTTAAATACCTATTTGACGGATTTCTACCATCAATATGTTCTTTAAAATAACTTTATTTTAATTTTGCTACTACGCAATCCAGTGATTTTTAACTATAGAAAGATCTAGAAACTCCTTCCCAGAAACGAAAATTTATTAGATTTTCGAAGCAACCCTGTTCTCAACCCTCGTACTAATTCCTAATTCGGAAAGAAAAACGATTTACGAAAACCTTGAACATGACAGGCTTCTGCATTTATTACGATACTAGAATTTTAAGAAAACTGAATTAAATTTAGCAACATTTACTCTCTAGATGGCAATCTACTGCCTTCTTCATTAAATGTGAGAAATTTTGTTTAATTAGTTTACCAGGTGGCAAATTTATTTTCTTTGATTGTGAGATGCAATTTTGAGTCACTACAATATACCTAACATATTGACTGAAAATAATTTAAATAAGTAGGATCAGACCTCAATATAAAAAAGTAAAAAAATATTAAAATTAATCAAAGTTTCATAATTTTTATGTTTAATTGTTTCCGAAAAGAAAAAATTGCAGTGTACATTTAATTCTTTTTGTTGCTGCAAAAAATTTTGAATCCGACTCTTGTATCTCTGCCAACTACAAGCGACAATCCCTTATACACACACTTTTTTAATTTTCTTATTAGTCCAGATAGAGCACAATTTTTAATATTACGAGTTGCCAAAACCATGAGCGTAACGTCAAGAGGTATTATTTGCTGGTTCTAGGTGGCGAATTATTTATTATGAGCCAATGTACCAGGAAAGAGGTAGTTTGCATTGGCGGAGTTGCACAGTCATGCTATTAGACGTTCATAACCCTTGGCTGTCAAGATATGAGCTCGTTTCACGTAACTTGTGATACACTTTCCACATGTTACCAAATTTATATTCGTTGAGGAGACTGTGGTTCGGTTTAAAGATTAATATTATTTCTCGGAAGGTATGCCGTTCACTGCATCTCAAAACACGACAAACCATTAATTATTATTATATCGTATTCAAATATGTAGGTGTACTTCATCTAAATTTTAAATTGTTTATATTTTTATCAAATGCTTTATATACGGGCTGGATGACTATTTTTGTTGATATAATAATATGGGTAACCAAATTTGTTTGATTCACCCATTGATTATGTGCGGCTAACTGTTAATTATAGGATCAGAAAAAGACCAATGAAATACAACAAAGAATGCAAAACTAAAACTGATTTATTAATTTCCATATTTATTTACAAATACTTGACACGCGTTTCACCACCCTGTTACTTCCTTAGAAGTTAAAAATTTAAGTCTAACTTGTTTAAACTGGAATTAATTCAGTTTAAACCTAATTTCTAAAGAAGCCACAAAGTGGCGAAACGCGTGTCAGCTATTTATAAATAAATGTAGAAATTGATAGGCGAGTTTTATTTCTGATTTGTAATTAATTTCCATTAATTGAAAGCGGAATCAATTAAATACATTCCATTGTTCCTTGTTTTACTTTTAATGAACATGTTTCACAATTGTTGTGCCGTGAAATGTTTGAATTGTATCAATAATAAACTTTCACGGAAGAAGTTCGGCATCGTTTATTTTCCAGCGAATTTTTTTTTTGGTCAAGGAAAATAATTAACAAAAGAGAAAAAGGAAAGGATGGCTGGGCTTCCCAATGAAGCAGCAATCTGTTTATAAAAGTGATAATTAATTTAACTCGCGGTCGCTTTAGGTAGTAGGTATATTGTTTCTGAAGTTAAAATCAATAACCGACGTTGGCGAAAGAGATCGTTTATAATTTACGTTTTGGAATTTAAATTATCCTTAATAAGATCCAACTACGTAATGTAGTGTTTAGTGTACATTACAGAAAAAAGTTTTCAAGTATTTGACAATCTAGGGAAATAAAAAAAAATCGATCTTCATTGTTTTGTCCCAAAATGCAGATCCCAGAAGATCGCATTCTTGATCCCACATAAACTGTTGCTTCGGAAAATTGCAAATTAAATGACCCCGTATTGAGGCATACTTGGTCCCTCTGTGAATTTGAGTCCCCCACAGTAACTACTCCGGGTTTCTGTAAATTTATCCTTATTACATAAAACTACAAGTTTTCTATTCTTTTTTACCATTTTATTTAAAATACACAAAAATATATACGAACATTTCCCTTATCAATATTAAATTTTACTTAAATAACTGTCAGTACCTATATGTACAATTATACATCTGTTAAAAATCTAGTTTTATACCAATAGTTAAAGATAACGATCTTAATAATATTTTCGAATAAGTATTTTAATATCTGAACAACCAAACAAAGGATTCTTTAGAGTGGTAGTTGCTCATGGAGCCACTTGCACGGTCCTCCGTCGTTAAAATCCGCTGCAGCATGTCCGTCTCCATTAAGTACCCATTTAGTGGTAAGGAGTCCTTCTACGCCAACGGGGCCTCTGGCATGTATTCGTGCAGTACTTATGCCCACTTCCGCTCCGAGTCCAAACCGGAAACCGTCCGCAAACCTTGTGCTGGCGTTATGGAAGACACATGCACTATCGACGTTTCGAAGAAACTCATCTGCACGTTCCTCTGTAAAAGGAAATGGATTTTAGGTGAAATGTTGAAATCATGACGAAAACAAGTAGAGGTACATCATTATCTGCGATCTATGGTACAGTCAAGAGGAAAAGAGTATCGTCAGAGTCAACAGAGGAGGTTATTTCAGCCTTCCTAATATATACCTAAACCATCATGTAGTAGATGGCAGTTTTCGATTTGGAGAATTATAATATCGGAAACAAGAGGCATGAAGAACTGATAAACAAAATAGAAGATATAAAACATCGATTGTAATAATAGCGACAATCAATTAATAATATTGTGCAGATGTTAATATCGCTAATGGGTTTGAAATACACGGCTTCAAAGTGCGCCAGTTACCACCTCCAGGGAATTATTTATTTAACAAACACTACAGCAACTGGATTAGCTTTTACTACGGTTTGAGTAATATTGTATGCAGCGGTTCCTGGTTGATGATTAACGCAGTCCTCAAGGCACTTTACAGGTTTCTAGGGTGAATTTCTAGAAATAGCATGGCACTTCCTTTGAAATAGACAATACAGTTATTTATGTCTGCAGGGTGCACCATCATAACGTTAACCAATGTATGCGAAGGTAATTGTTCCTCCTGGGGTGTTGCTTGTTCCACAATGCATATCAATAAGTTCCTAAGCGTGCGACCTTGCAATTCCTTTTACATCGCAGTGTCCATACCATAAATTATAAATGTAATTATTATTACTACACATATAATTCGGAAAACAGTTGAATCAACAGCAACAACCAACAACTTGATACGAGGATACACATCTCACATCTCTTCATAGTCCAAAATGAAGTGATTAGGACTAAACTATTCATTCTTATTTAATTTTGTCTCTACTCTATTCTAATGGCAGTCTCATTCACAATATGACTCAGAATATTTTGGATTAGGTTGAATTAAGTAAGGTGCAGCTGTGATGGAGGTGCGTTAGGTTAGACAAGACCCAATGGTTTTACCAGGGCGTGGTATTCAGTTTATGTTTTATAGAAACCGCTAATAAATTGGTATCTAGTAAACAACGACGATTTATGAACAGATGCTGAATCTCATAAATTGTCTTGCAGTTTAGATACTCTTGTTGTATAACTACGATGATTTTCGTGTAAATTCTGTAGTTGCTAAGAGAGATGTAGTAAATTGCATGAAAGGTGTACAGTACACATGCCCACGTGAAAGAGTACGAGTCCCATCGAGCGACTTGAGAATCTTCCACTTACTTTCGTCCCGCGGTGGAAGCCTTTTCATCTTTTCTCCGGGGATCAAACTCTGAAAATCGCTACCGTATGCAAGTACTAAACGAATTTAACTACACAAACAGCTCGGTGTAATGTGCATACAAAAAGACAGCATGAAAACGAGTAAGCTCTCTTAACGTTTACACGTATTAGAAGGAAACAACTACAGCGTGAAAAAACCGTTAGCATAGACATTGCATAAAGCCCTTATAATAATTCTACTGTAAAGCTATTGAGAGATTGCATTTACGTCATCGACATAGTTTGCACGAACTAATCCAAAAGGTACCGACAATCTTCTTCAACGTACGACCTTTTTTTTGGAACTGTTTCAAGAATAAAGCCCATTTTTATCTTTTCGATTTTATAGCCATAACTGTGAATGAAGTCGGCATCTAAGAAATTGCTGACTGCACTTTTAGAGTTTGATTTCATAAATGGGCTATACAAAAGCTGAACGGATTCAGTACAAAAGTTTTAATTGATATTGGGAGTAGTATAGAAGTGTATCATAATAGATTGAATTTAGTTCGCTAATACTTTACTTGCTTCATCGGATTACAAGAGTTGCTCTACTTTTAGCGCTTCCTCCTTATTTTCTATTCTAAATTTGTTATTGCTTCTTTGAATGAAACTTAAAATGTCGCAATAAGGAAGTAATTTTCTAAAATTAATGAAATTAAATGAAAAATCAGCAACATTGGTCAACTCTGCCTTCATCTTCTTATTTAATTGACCCCCCCCCCAAGATACTACAACCATTTTTAATTAAAAGTTCAAAAAATTAAATTTCCTATCGTGTTCTTACTGTTTTAATAACGGATTTTGGTACTTTTCCCTGCCTCTCTTTACTCCTGTTCCTATTGCTAGTATACATATCTTTAATCTTCCATGTCTCAAGATGCCCTCTGCGTTTCTTTATTGACTTCTTTTGTTTTCCCACCGCAAAGATTGTCCTATACAGAGCCGTGTTCCAAACATACCTACACTACTCTTTGTTTCAGTTCAAAGATCTTCATCTAATTTTCCTGGCTTCCGGCCGAAAGCGTGCGTTAGATTTTTAAACGTTTTTATATCTACGGAATTTTGGGATTTCGTGTTCTAATATTAGAATCCATGCGAGACCACTTGGGCCACGTCCCTCATTTCTGGATTTGAAAGCAATTGAAGCCAATACTTCGGCCTCTAAATCTTGTGAAAACAATTATTATCCTTGTGACTAAAGTGCTTTAACAGAATAGTTTCCTTTTACAACAAATTAAAGCTCGTTCGGTAACTCGGTTTGTCGATGAGCGTCTTTGAGGTAATCAGTTAATTTAGCAGAAGAAGAAATCCATTTAATGGACCTTTTCTCCTGTTTGGTTCCGCCATTGAACCTCTCAATGTAATCAACCACGCAGCAAATTGCGGGAAAGCGGCGGAATTTTCTTTTATTGGAAACCAAACATGATTTCGTCGTTTTCTTTTGAAAGCAATTCAAATTATTCAGGGGTCCTTTGTGGCTGTAGAAAATAATTGCCGGCCAAACACACACGTGTAAGGACTTAGTAGTACCATTTCCAAAATTGTTTAGTGTTTTGGACGATTTTAGTGCATTTCCCAGCTCCAGATTTTGAAGTACCTCTATTAAAGGTGTAACTACATATACGGTTGTTCGTTAGAAAAAGTTGCGAAGTTCAGTTTTCTGCAGCGAAATGTATAAGAACTTTACAATTGAGTTCGAAAAATAGATCGCTCTACTTTTCTGCTAGAACCGATCGTATACGTAAGTACGTACATTTATGAAGCAATATCTTCTCATACAGCTCAGTTGAAGTTGAGTTTTTATTAATGTTTAATTGAAGGGATATTTATTATGACTTTGAAGATGATTGCTATCCTGAAATTGCGAGATTTCGAAGTAAATAAGATAAAAAACTGCGGCATATCCTTTTCATTGTTCGAACGGTTGATAGCAGAAAAATTTTATAAGCTTTTAATAGCTGATGTTAGTTAAACTGGTAAAATAAACATAACATTGGTTTAACAAAAATGGGATTAAAATCGCTCGACCGAAATTTGATAAAGGGAAAGTAAATAAATGTTTCAGGTTAAATAAAATTGTTCAGCAAACAATGTAACAGTATTCTCTTAGGTACTTACTTAAAGAGCTTAGTAGCTTCGCTGAACAAATATAAATGTCTTGTAGAAAGCTAAATAAGTGCGTTGAAATGAAAAACAATAAAACAAATTAACTTATTGATAAGCCATTTATACCTGCCATTGGCATTGTGTATCTCGGAAAACGAGATCTTTTCATAATTATGTTTGTTAGAGCTATATAAATTGGCAATGAATTGTTTGAGATGAATTTATCTTTAAACGAAGTGTACTTATAATACGCCGAAAAATATAGAACATTGCGTCATCTTTATAAGGTCGTCAATCCAAATCCATTCCATCTTTTTTTAGAATTCGTAATTTCCATAGAGCTCTTTCTCTGCTTACTGGTTCTAATATCTCTTCATTTGTAACTTTCTTTTCTACGACATTTCTATCATCACCAGCCTGTAGCACCCCATTTCATCTTCAATAGAAGCAGACTCGGTGGATTTAAGGATTGAAAAGATAAAATTTCTATTACTTGTCCAACATAATGTAGTCTCGTAGTTTGATTGAGAGGAAAAACGGAGCGCATCCCGAATAATAGACTGGAAGCATTTTAAAGCGTGTTGGATCACGAAATGTGTGAAAGGCGGACCTTATTGTACACCTTAAAAACAATGACTCTGATGCTGTTAGCTAACTAAATGATGACGACCAGACGTTATTAGTAAGATGTGCAAATCAATGAACAGGCGGAATTTAGTACCTTCGCAATCCAAGGTCATGGCCCAAAAAATTCTAAACTATCTCTAACGTTTGCTAAACATTTGACGGTTTTGAGATTTTAATGTCCTTGTTTCGAGATAGAAGCACCAACTTGATCTCCGCTGTTTAATTTGTACCTTAATAGTTTTTTATTGCCTTTGAATTCTCAAATATTTAATATAAATTCCCTTTAAAACGTGAATGATTCTGACTCATTTATTTTGTTGAGCCCAATTTCCAGTACATTAAAATTTACGAGAGATTTGCTGTTTAAGTAAACGGAAATATCTGAGTTATCCTTTAAATTTTGTAGAGACATTTAGTTACATTATAACGGATAGTTTTTTGTAATATTTATTTCCTCAGAAGAGCATAAAATTGATAGTTCCCTGTCTTGTTCAGAGTTATTAATTATAGGAGCTCTACTTACGGTTTTCAGTCACAATGGATTCTGTGTGCGAACTTCCATAGGAGTAGATGTGATTTATAGCATCTTCCAGTGACTTCACTACTTCTACACAACATTCCAATGATCCGTACTCATGTTTCAAAGACTTAGCCTGAGGTGGCCCGAAAGTTAGGTGTTGGGATAGGTTTGGTCCTAAAAAAGGAATTTAAAAATCAAATAAAGAATAAATTATTTATTCATTCTGTTAGAAATGAGAAACTAATTGCTGGATATCAATGTCCTTTGCTTAATACAAATCTATCATCAAGAATTCACAATTCATAAATGGCATTCAAATGTTTGAATGATATTGTGCAAACTATTTCTTTGTTTGTTTACTACAAGTCTACTGCTATAGTTGCTCACATTTTTTAGTGTTCCTCACATGTTTCATTCCGTTTACGTTTCTGGAGCATACCTAGTAGTGATTTTTATAATTCAACTAATGCAGTTGGTTGGTGTTTATGAATGCGTTTACTACTAAATTTACGTCTTCACGATTAAATTAAAATTAAATCCAATAGGCATCCAGACTTTATGACAAAGGTTTTTGAAAAATGCAGTTTAAAGGTCCCCGATTCGTAATGCATGCTATGTGCACTTATCTGTACCTGCCTACACGTCTAAAGAATTTCAAAGAAGCGAAAACCCTGTTCCAAATGATCAAAACTTTTGAATGGTCTTTGACGGTGATCTCACTGGACCATTCATGTAATAAATTGGATGTCGACTATTGAAATATTCCTTTCAATTTTACCCTAAGTATCAAAAGGGTAAGAAAACGGTTCGACGGGTACAATTTATTCGACGGTAAATATCGATCGCTGTCCAGGTTTTTTATTGGCGCCGATTTTATTTCAAATGTCTTCAGACAAAAGATTAATATCTATTTTTTATACAGACTACGTCAATTTTTCATTTTACACCTCTTACAAAAATCGTTTCGATAAATACTATTTGTAGAAAAGAATTTTCATTAAATTTCATCAGTTGCAATAACATTAGCTTAGCAATATCTGTAGGTAATTTTTAATAAGTACACAGAATTGTTCGTCGGTTTGTTGAATACTTACCTGCATAAATTTTTACGTTTTCCTTCTTCAACATATTGCAAAGTTCGTTGAAGAAATTGGTTTGCAGATGACTTTCGTGAACAAGAAGCGTCTCCATGGCATTACATGCTGCAGGATAATCACATTTGGAATCCCTTACGATTTTTAAGGCTTTGTTAAGGTCTGCGTCCCTGTCGACATACACGTGACAAACCCCTTCGGCATGCCCTAAAACGGGGATGTGTTGACATTGCTGTTGTATATTGCGAACTAATTCGTTAGATCCTCGAGGTATAATAAGGTCTATATGCTGTTCCATTGATAGCAGATCGCTTATTTCTTCGCGAGTTGATACCTATAAAAATATTATAATGTAATGAGGTTTTCTGAAACAATTTCTAAGAGATTGTAAGGAATCACACAGTTTTTGTGTAGTCATTTCCTGTTACTACGGTATCGAGTAATGTTCAAAAAGGTCCTTTTCCAATAAGGACGTCGACTTTACAAACTGAACCCGCGGCGTAAAACGATTACCAAAAAGAGCAATAAGTACTTGGTGTAACATTCAGGCGGGAAAGAGCTATCCGAGTTCAACCCTTATTAGCACGTTTATTCGCCGGAGTACCGTTCTGGAGGGCGCTACCAGAAAACCACACGTTTACCCGTCTACTCCGCCGATGACTTTGTTTTCTCGGTACCACCACCACTGTTGTATGTACTCGAGCTGCATCACCCATTTAGGCAGGGGTGAATAAAAACGACATCCCGCATAGGACTTATTCCTTTAGAAGAATGCTGTCAAACGCTTCAGCCACGTTCATGCGTTTAATGAATATGTTCAGTAGCGAGTTATGGGATGTACATTTTCTGATTTACCTGGACCCTACCTACCGGTACCACCTGGAGGACCTGGTGCGAGTTTTTTACTGGATGCGAAGATTTAACCTCCGAATAAATCGATTGAAATGTAGATTCTGTTGCCTTGAAGTTTTTACCTAGGATACATTCTAATTCCTCAGAAAAGGTTTTGGCAATACGCTCCTTGCCGTCGCTGTTCCTGGTATCGCAGTTTCATAATGGGCTTCGCGGAAATCGCCCGACTTCTTTTTCGACTGACCAAGAAGGGAAGAGAAGCAACAGACCATGTCGCCTATCTCAAGACGCGGTCGACCTGGGAAGCAGCCTTGCTGCAGAGGGAGGAACCTGAGGAGAAACCCATTAAATAGACCAACGGATTGCTAACGCCAGTGGAGAAGAACCACTCCACCACCGAATGCGAAGCCTTGGCAATTGTGTGGGCATGTCAAAATTCCGTGGTTGTATCAATGAGTCCTCAGTGGTTGTTTTGACAGATCATTAACCACTGAAATAGCTACTAGGTCTGAAGTTGTTTTCTGAAAGTTTAAACCGGTGGGTCTTCCAACTACAACCATACAATCTGACAATCAAGTACGGATCATAAATATTGAACATCGTCGCTGATGGAATATCCAAACCCCCGTGCCCGAAAGAAGAGAACTTTCTCGGCCATCTGTCACGACCGAATGCAAGATACCGAATTCAAAAGAATACTGGAAGATTTTTCCATCGAGACGAGACCGAGTTAAATCGATACCTCGCTCGCTGCTACTTATCACCTTAAGGACTGTATTAATTGCCAAAGATTCAAGGTTTCCAATTTGAACCCCGTGGGATACCTCCACTCAAGCGAAACAACTAACCGAATTCAACCCCTATTAGTACGTTTATGCGTTGGAGTACCGTATTAGAGGGCGCCACCAGGAAACCACTCCGCGGACGTTTTCCTTCTCTTCCATCACCCTTTTAGTTACGCGCGCTGCATCCCTCACCTTGGCAGGTGTGTGCATCCCCGCATAGGATCGACAGTGACCTTGATTCTACGTGCAAACCTCTAGCATCCTTCGTGAAAATCCAGGAGTTTTCCAAAATCGGAATCCTTGGTAAATATTGTACCAATAGGTACTAGGTATTTGGCCCAACAAAATAAAGTTTAGTATGAGTCCAAAGATTAGGGTAGGTTTCAAAAACTAATATCCGCTAATTATTAAATTAGTATCTATTATTGGTACTGTCGAACTATGGCGGACGCCACAGTAGACGTTAATTTATTGAAACAAATCATTTATAACTTGTAATAATTCGCTGGAAGTACCAACTCTATATTGGTACAAAGAATTAATTATAGTGTTAATGTAAAATTCTGTAAAAATAGAATACATATTCTATTGCTATAAGGAATTGGTCTAAAAGTCCTCCCGAATTGGTCCATCCCAACAAGCCATTAATTTATATAAAGTTTGTACTCTGTGAATCGAGTTTCTTAATGAATGCTTTAAACTGGTTACCGTCCGTCCATTAATCCAATTTAGCTTAAATATTCATCTACACATCTGAGATACAACTTCAGTTGCATAAACTCTCAACTTCGCGACCAATTAAATTCTAGAAATGGGGGCAAACGCAATTTACCTGCTCATTGGCGAGACTCCGTTTTAGATTAAATTCTTTTGCCGGTAAAATAAATTCTTTCACTTTAACAAGACATTGACGCAACGAAACATGGGAGCCATTAGACACATTATAAAAGTAAGCAATTTTTTTAACTTAGGTACCTACGTCTTTGGGATAGTTGTGTATCGATTGTTATACACAAGAAACCCGAGGCCCAAAAATTTGTAGTCAGCTAATGAACTTACAAGACAATGTTATTGAATTATTTCGACAAGTAAGCTGAAAGGCTTTAGGGTATAAAATTGGATGGTGGGAGTAAACACCTTTTATTTCATAAAAATTATTGTCTCTAAATTAAGTCGGAAGTCAAAATAGGCGAACGCAAGAGGCAACAATTTATACGAAACTAGTGTAACTCATGTAAAGTTGGACGATTGAATATCGTTTTTGATAGTGCAGAGCACTCCACCACTTTAACCATGACGCTCGTCCTTACCATAATCTAATACAGCCTAATGCTTCAGTTGGCGGGCATTTAGTCACAGCCACTGCTACATCATCTCTTCTTTGTCCTACTAAACACGTCAAAGGATTGTAATATTTTTAAATCAAAAAACTAATACCGTTGTAATTACTTACCCCTTAAGTTATGATTCTCCGATTAATTTAATATTTGGTTAATTGACTTTTAGTGATTGTTTTTTGAACAGATTTTGTAGCGCTAGTTAAGTTTTTTCTTCATTTACTGAACGGACTATTTTAGGGTATCAATATTAATTTTTGTGTTATATTATTAGATGCTGCATGGTTTTTAGGAAATGATCCTGGCTAATATCGGTCTTATTGCAATTTCGACAGATAATAATAACCTAGAGTAATGTCCTAATTATTTCATCCTCCTAATATTTAAATATAAACTGAATATTTCTCCAACGTCTCTCTTATATTTTCGGAATCCTGAGAAGGAATTTTCTAATACAAAAGAAAACTTTCCTCTCATATTTGCCATTCCTTAACATTGACATTAATAGAAAGTTGATAAAAAATTGCGCTATTCGTTTTCACTATTCGTTTTGTTTTAAGTTCTAAAAATTTAAAATTGATTTAAAAATGAATACGTAATAGGCTTTTGCTAAAACATCTTTTAGTTGAGAAATTTTCGAAATAGTGACGGCGTGATAATTTTATTGGGAAAATTGGCCTATACACAAGTTCAAAAGTTCTGTACTCTTGATCGTCATTTAACATCTGCCTTCTAAAACTATTTCAACAAAACGGAAACTGGGAAGCTAAAAGTTGTGTTTCATGAGGTATGATAAACGATGTAGACGTGATGTAGCAGTAGCTGTGTTAAAGAATTATTTTGATTGTTCAGTTACCTCGAGGTGGTGGAATACAAAATTGGAAGTGCTAACCATGCGGTAATACCTGTTACAACTGAAAATAAAGTTGCCATGGTAGGTAATACGTGACTAAACTCTCAAAACCACTTCTCTTATTGCACTTATATTGTAGCAAAACGAAATGTTCTGCACAAATTTGCTTTACAAAAAGGAAAAAAATGAACTTTTGTTCCTGTTGTAGACATTTCTATATTCCCCGCTGGGTGCATCCGTTGTAATGACATGGTTGGACATTAACTTTTTCATATCTCATTTTTCCCCGTGTAGTGCAAAGCATGAGGGTACGGTGGAAGACGTTCTTCAACAACATTCTTTTTAGGAATTGTGGGATTGAGTGGTTGTGGTAAGGGTAAGACAGTGGAAATTAGACAGAAGACACTTGAAAGAATATTTGCGAAAAAAATTACTACGCCAACATTAAGTGGCTAAATAATGTTTATTAATGAAATTGCATTTTCCGGGTAAAGTGACCGTGATGGTTGAAGTTAGCGATTACGTGTGTCACTCGTTTTGTCTTGTTGTGAGAGACAAGTTGAGTGGTGGACCCCGGTGGTGTGGAAAATGACATCATATGATACCTACATCGCAATCGTTTCAAACCTAAATAAATTTATATTTAATATTAAGTAATAATAACAATAGTAAACAATGCGAAGTCTGTTTTGCAGGTCGCAAACATGCTACATTGGTGTGGTTTGATTACCTTAAAGTATTCACTGTAAAATTTACTCAATGTATAATTGAAGTTTCTGTTTACATTGCATTTAGGGAATTGCTAGCGATTTCCCGAGCAAAGTACAAAGCAATTTAATCACGACATCGCTACAAATTGAGATGATACAGGAAAATTAGGATGTTAATGAATTTGTGACACAAAGTTCAATAGATTTATCGTCAATTTCCATTTTCTCTCTTGCATTTTAAAGCATGTGGCAATTTATAATCCACAATAAACTATTTAAATGTACATTGAAGTGTTCTACGTGTAATAGATACTTTTAGCAATAAATTTTAGAATCGTATTAAACCTATTTACGTCTTTTCATGAATAAACTATATGTATATTTATTATTTTCCGTTTACATTTATGTCAGTTGATTTTGTTTGATAATTTCAATTTCAAAAAATTATTAACGGATTTTGTATATTATATATTATTAGTGGAGAAAGCGAGGGAATTAGCCTGAGACTTTGTTGTAACAATTTTAAGAAGCTCAATCCTGTTAGTTTATGGGACCGATAATTCAACCGCAGGTGCTGCATGTGTAGTTAGCAAAACTTTGATTAAGAACCGCACTCTTAAAAAGTTGCTGAGCCAAATAGATACAGTTTTGATACTGAATACTAACTAGGAAGTTCGTTAAGTTTCGCGGCCTGTTTTAACCGCTTTTATTGCAAGTGGAGGTCCTGTTGCAAAAGTTTTGATGAGAAATATTTACATAATGAATGGGAAACAATGTATCTAAATTAACTCGACAATTTCAAACTTCAGCAAGATTGAAATTGGTTAGTTTTGAAGCCGTTCTCGACATGCAGGCGGTTACCACCTCATTCATGGCAGATTTATTATAGCATCCTTTAATATTAGACCGTTTCAGGGTGAAAAGTGAAGAAATGAGTGGATGAAGCTGTTTTGTAACAAAATTGAAACTTTCAAAAATTCGCGGTGAAAATATTTTTATGGACATTGAAGGTTTCCAGGCTTTCTGACTGTGGTCTAGGTTGGTTGATGATTTTACTGTAGCAAGCCCGGAAACCTCCAATATTCACATTGGCTCCGGCCATGAAAGCCGACAGTAATTAATCCATTTTTAATTACATAAACTACTCTCTGTAACATAACAGCATCATTCAGTCTAGACCTTCTATTTAATGATTTGACATTTATTTTATTTTTGTGTCAGTATATATATTTAACAAAACTCTTTACTTATATATTTGCGCGGGTGTCAATTAGTCATCTTTTGGCTTAATTCTTATCTTTTTATCGAGTGGTTTGCTGATATGACGGCTTATAGTATGCACTATTACTTTGAGCATCTTGCCCTTTGAGCGGCGGAGTCATTTCTTTCGTTCAACTACATAACCTTTTCATATTATTGCACGACAGTCCCTAATCTTCTTTAATCTTCGAATCTGCTCTCTGGTGTATATTATTATTAACATTTGAATAATTATCAAGTGCATGTCAATGCCAAAGGGAACGTTATGTTTAGATCGGTTTGACGTCATTGGTGCATGTGATTAGAAACCAATGACTTTGAAATTGCCCATTTATTCAAGTTTTGCAGTAGTCGAATTGGTAAATATTTAAAATCGACGGTAATTATTTATTCGTGGATTTTCGGATGTTTATGTTTAATAGAGTGAATATTAAGCGTACTTTAATGTAAATAAATGGTTAGTCTGCGGTATAAAGTTTGCAAAACGTCTGAGACTTACCAACGAGATTGCATTTTCTGCATCCACTTTTCTTAATGCTTCCTTCACCAGATCCATTAAGGCCTTATTACTATTAACGGCTTCCTTGCCTCCCTTCAAGAGCAGCCCATTAGCTGAAGCGAGAGCGAGAGCCGCAACTTGAGGTAAGGAGTCCGGTCTCGATTCGAAAATAACAAGCAGCACTCCTATGGGCACGGTGATCTTCTTTAATTCCAATCCGTCTGCTAGCTTAGTTCTTATCAATACCCTGCCCACATTCCGATGGCTCGAGTCGGCAATCTGATTCAAGCCGACGGAGAGGGTCTTCAATTTGGCCGGCGTAAGGGAGAGACGGGAGAGTAAAGGTTTCGACAAACCCGACTTCGTTGCCTCCGATAAGTCTTTCGCGTTCGCGTCCAGGACGTCGGCTTGTTTTGAAATAAGAAGGTCCGCCAATGTGTGGATACAAAAAGCTCGCTCTTCCGGTGTCAAACTTTGTAACCTTCTACTTCCCGAGCGTGCTGAAATGAAACGTTTTCAGTAAAGGAAATTTTTACGGCATTATCGATGCGGAATGAATAGGTAAAATTGCTCGGTACATTTCTGTTGGTAAACAGACAACTATTCTCCTTACAGTTGAGTTAGTGTGTAAGAGAAATAAAACTTGCATCAAAGATATGTACCAGCAAATTTCCCGCGGGAATGTTGTCACTGTGGTTTTCTGAAATTTACATAAAATGATCAATGACATCGTTATGCACAACATATAAAACATTGAATATATAGGTATGTAACCACATTCTCACATGTTCTGGATTCATGAAACAACTTAGTAATTAAATGATCGTCCGAATGTGCTTTTGCACGCAGGAGTGTGAAATAAATCATTACATTCCTCCTTTGATAAATGTTCAAAATGTTTCTACGTTGAAACAAATGTGTAACGTAGATACTTTAATGAAATTTACAAAATTAATTGTGGATACTTACAATCCTGACATTGGGTATGATTATCACCGGTCCACAAATATTACAGAAACAAATGGAAATTTGACCCCGAAACTTAAAATTAAAATTTAGAAACACATTTTCTGACGTAATGTGCGAAAATGCCCGTTTATGGATTATTTTATTGATAAAGATAATTTTACCGGTAATGACTGACTAAGTTATTGACTTATAAGTTATAAGGTCTTCACGAGTGAATGTTTTGCAGTGTGATCTAAGCATTGTACCTATTAATTTCTTTTGTGATTTACCTTTTATCTTTTTTTGTTAATTAAGTATTGTTTTGTTTCTATTGTAAATTAAGTTTTTCAATCAACCAAACCCGTAGTTCCTTCGCCCTTTTCCTCTGAGAGGGGGCAATTCAACTGACTAACTAGAAACTCACTGATGTAAGTAAAATTTAGATATATGCTGACCTCCTAATATTGGTCAGGAATTACTCAAGTGGTGATAACTTCCATTACAGCCATTAAATGTAAACTTACCATTTTCAGCCATGGTTTCAACGGAAACCGAGCCACTAAAAGTTGTATCGGTGAACAGCGTTCCAACTTTCCGCCCTGACATAATAGTTTTAATAGCTTTCTCTAGAGTTCCGTTGCATATAACCACAGTAACTCCCCTGTCGAGTGCCCATGTGGCAGCATTAACCTTAGAATCCATTCCGCCCGTTCCCACCTTCGACTTTTGACCAAATTGAATGGTGTTTCGTACATCGGACGTGAATGTGTGTATCATTTTTGCGCCGTCTTCCCACGGTGGCTTGTTATAAATTCCATCCACGTCAGACATCAATATCAACAGGTCGGCTTGCACTTCGGCAGCGACCATAGCCGCTAAACTATCGTTATCTTTGAGACTTATCCCTCTTTTGCCACTTTTACCACCTATAGGCTCATCGACCTGTAAATATTAAATAGACTGGTTATAGATTAAAGTTAATTTATTTTAATAATAGCGTAAGGGGGAAACAAATTATCGAAAATATAAATTAAAGCATATTACGGAAGAGTTTCGTAGAATTTAATAAATTTAGAACATTATTTAATATCACAGAATATTTCTTGAAAATAATTTGCTCGAAAAAGGACTTTCTCGAAATTCATTTTCTGGAATGCTCATTATGAAGAATTGATCGGTTAATTAACTTATGAAATATTCTTGATATGTACTGCTTTTCATTACAATGACATCTACAAAGCGGAAAATTTCTGCTTATATTTAATATTCATTTCATTTGGGAATGTCACCTGTGGAGGTGGTTCAACAGCATCGTTTGTATTGATGATCGGAACAATGTTAAGACTAATCAGTTCGGCTAAAGTGCTCATCAGATTTTTTCGAGTTTGTTCATTATAAAAGTCCGGTTTTGTCACAAGAACTTGGGCTATTTTGACTCCATACTGTGCAAACATAGCGTCGTAGAGTGACATAAGTCCCGACTGGCCCACAGCTGCAGCTGCTCTTGGTTCCAGTAATGTTCCTGTATCCTGAAATAAAAGATCGATAGCATCAGTTTATCGGCCTACAAATCATCTCATACTTTGAAAGCACGTTCATGTTAAAGTAAAAAACTCGTAGAAAAGTTAACCAATATTGATAAAAAGCTTATGAATTCAACCAGTTTAATTTTTCAACCCTTAAATACGACGACACGAATGCCAAGTTAGGCGAAACTCGTATAAACCGGCCTGTTTTAACTTTATCTTAGAAAATTGAAATAAATAGGAGAGAAAACGTATAAGATAATGTTTGTACAATACAAAATTTACTATAAAATGTTCAAGAGAACATGCATGCAAAATTAACAACTTAAACAATAGAATGTTTAAAAGTTTGATGTTTGAATCGCTTGTTTTCTGAGTTCATAAAGCTTGCGATACATGTGTCCAATTCAGTTAACAATTATAATTTACAAATAAAAATCTGAAAATTGTAGAAGGAAAGGAAATGTATAGAACAGTGTTCCATTTAATACGAGAGGGTTATCGCGAGTTTAATTTACATGAAAACAAAGAGCGTAGTCTAAGTCAATATTTTAATAATTGTTGTTGCTGATTAAGAGTCCGCTACCTGTGAATTAATGAATTAACGCCGTAGAAGGGCGAAATCATAAATCCTGGTTGTAGATACAGTCAAAAGTCACCGTTTGGACCGTTAATTTAGTAGATTAATGACAGGTACCTTCCGTTTACCAGTTCACAAATGCTATAAATCTTGGTTCCAATTTACTATGTCCCAATTCACCCCTACATTTACAAAGATCTATTGAATCATATGGCAATAATAAAATAAACGCGGAATTACCGTTTAACTGCTTAACTTCTTTACTGATGTAATACTGTAAAGGAAAAACAATAAAAATAAGTTTTCTCAATTTTTCCTTAGCATAAATAGTTAGCATGTTTTACTAAATATTGGCTTCTCCAAATTTGCTAATAATCGACACCCTAATATTAAATTTACCATTGAAGAAGAAATAAACAATAGCTTTAATTGTTTAGAACTAATTATAACCAAAAATAACAATAAATTCCAATTCAATTGGGAACATAAGTGTGATATAGGAAATTTCAACGTATACACCATGAGAATTGATGCTTGGGAGAAATGTATATTCCCACGTGTGTCTACCTTGACAACTTCCAACAGTTAGTCGGTATTCAATTCATCTCTTATTAAATATTCATGTTAAAGCTTCGAATGTTAACTGTTGAAATAAAACGAGGGTTAATACAATTTACAGTTATTTCAAAAAGTTTATGTATACGTCAAAGGGGGTTGTAACGAAAAAGGTTGTAAAGGTCGGACAGACAGACACATCACACGAAAAGTTTTGCCATTTCTGTTCGCGAACTTTGTTACATAATAACCGAAATGGATAATACTGCAGAAGATATTTTACACAGTTTTGGAACAATAAAAATATTGAAAAGGACCAATTAACTTTAAAATACGTTTAATTTGTACTAAATAACAAATCTCTACAGATATCCTTTTCTATGCCGTCAAAAATTAGGATAAGTACCTAAGGGCACATCACAAGAAATAAATAATGGATATTATCATCGAGATGGAGTTATTAGTAGGTACCATTATTCGATTCTTTACCGTAACGAATGCATAAACGAGAATGTTGTACTTGATGGCCAACGACAAACGGAATTTGATCATGTAAAATGACGAAATAACTGTGGGGTGCGGAATGTAAAATATTTGATTTTCTTCCTTTGTGCTTTTGGAAGCAATTTGATCGCAGGGATTTTCTAACATATAAGCTGCTAGCAACCCAACATCGAAATTTACATATACCTGTTTTGAATTCATGAATATATGCAACAATAATGGAATACAGAAAGTGTTATGGGTATTTTACGTAACACAACCTACTGATATACATATTCCAACAGGCACGGTTCTCTTATTATATACAGGTATATAGGAACATAGTTACTTCTTCGTCATCATTTATTGGCAATATACTTTGTATTGCTGACAATTTCAATACGCGTACACCTTTTTGCTGTGCTTCGATCGAAATGTTGAATAAGAGAATAGGGTACGTTACTGTTTTTCGAAATCCGACAAACACTGGCAATGATTTGGAACATATTATCGAATATTACACTCACTTAATATTTGAGAAAACTGTAAAGCCGTTTCATAATAACGTACAAGTTTCATTACGACTGAATCGGTACAAACTCCAGAAAACTGAAAAGTTAAGACATTCAGAAAATTATCATTTTAATTGAAGAGATTACTTCATGGAATTAAAATCACAAATTGAAGCGGTAATATAATAATAACCGTTGAGTTTCCGCAACCAAGAAAGAGAAATCTCGAACTCCAATTTTCTTATCCTACGTAGAATAAACTTACTTATATTTGCCATTAATATATCGCAAGTTTTACCACAGAGACCAAAGTTTATTAAACTTATAAAGAGTGGGATTTGTAAATAACGAAACAAATATAAAACAGTTACTTAATTAATGGTTGTAATTTAATTATGTTTTGTTGGTACCTAATACTGGATAACAAACTAAAATTATCGGCTCAAAATGTACGACTGAGCTAAACTCAAATACCTGTACAGTTTAATTAATGCGATATTATTACAGTGGAATATACCTACAAAATGTGTACATTTACACACAGAACATTCCTTTTGCTTGAACGAGGCACGAGCACAATAATAACTTCCGGTCGTCTTGTATGTACATAAATTGCACAGCTTGCACCATACATTGCAGAAAAAGGTAAATAGAAACGGGTAATGTTTAGATGTCTGACGTTCGAGATAACCGCCAACCTAAACACCAATTGTCCACGTTCGAGCTTTATGTGGGACAGAATTTGTAGAATGGATATGTGCAGGAGCAGAAGTGTAGGATGTTTTGTTGTCAGGAGGGTCAATATGTTTTCTCCGCGAACGATAGTCTAATCTAGGTTTTCTTCTACCTCTCTTTTATTCTGCTCTTGCTCCTAATGTCTGTAACTAACTCTTCACGTCTCAGAAGGTATTCAACCATCTCATGCCTTCCTTTCCATAATAGAGCCCTGTGATCTCCTCGTCTTTTTAGTTTAAAGTTCGGTTTTGTATAAGAACAAGTTTGCTTTCCAATTATTTTATGTTGGAAATAAAAGAATGATTATGATTTCCGAGCTAGATCGTTGTTGTGAGCCCTAGATTCTGCTATATCTATCATACACTTGGCAATGCCGCCCCTGGTTGTTGCGATTGGCGGCGATGTCACACAAAAGCAGCTTAATGTTTGTTCTCCTAACTCCTGATTAATGTCCTGCAGGATCTTGTACATCACGTAGTACCTATCAGTATATACATGCAGTTTCCTAACCGAAATCGCTCCTGTTATGTTTCGTATAAGTTCAGCTATATTGTTTTTAAACTAAAACTATTATTGTTAATTAAATATATCGTTGATGATTCCATTAGCGATTTTCGGCTAAAGCTGCGGCTTGCATAAGATAATACCTGAACTGTTTGAAGAGACAACAGTTCTCGTTAAGCTGCTTGTGCAAGTAGCGCAATGCGAAATAATTTACAATTGTATTGTTGTTTCGTTTGGTCATGTGTTAAATATATATCCCTAATAGAAACTGCTCAATAACGTGGTACAGCCTCATTTCGGAGATAAACACAATAGCAAATGCAAACTATCTGTATCAGTCGCTAGACGATTTTCTTGGATGTACTTGTTTTCTTGCGTTTGAATATGCTAACTCCATGTTAATATTTGGAACATTGGCTTTGCTGTCGCCTTTGCGAATGCCAGGCTAATCTCTAAGCCATTACCACCAGCATTATATAAAGCGACTAAAATGAGTAAACCGAAACAATACTGCCATTAATACAACCATATAATCATAGGCGCTTATGTTTATGTTAAATGGAATATTGCCTATATATATGTATAAAATGTGGTGGTACATTTAGCGAGTGAAATAACGGTTCTAATACATACGGTTCGTAAATGCGTTTGCCTTGTTTCCACTAAAATTACTAAGGCTAACCGTCACCCAACTGTTCATAATCAATTATCACAAATTAGTTTCATAAACTTTATGGTGTGTTCAAAGTTTTGTTTAAAATTCATCCAATTCTTCATCGTTGTAATAAAAAAATTGTCATTTTCATAAGTTTCATAGTTTTGAATTTGATAAAATAATAATTGGATTGGATTTCTGTGGAACTGAACTAAATAAAACACTAAAATTGAAAATTCTACCTAGAAACGTTTTTAAACACCTAAAACCCGTTTCGGCACCCAAGATGCCACTCTCAGTAAGAAATTAACGAATGATGACACTAACTTTATAAAACTAAAAATCAATCTTCAATTGACAACATTCAGTGAAATCGTTCGTATATTTCTGTTGGAGTAATTTGATTATTCTGTCCGATAGATTATAATTTCCGGAGAAGCAATTTCAGTTAACTTGTTCCAACTCTTAGCCATTTAATGCCAATGTATGCAGCAATTCCTTCTACGTACCTATAGTAGCGACCAATCAAAATTCGCTGAAATTTATTCAATTCGAAAATGTAGAGACATTTGAAAACGTAATCAATAATGTGAAACAATAGACAACCTAATTGACAGGCACGGACCGGACATTCCATATCACCAGCAAAACGTTAAGCTATGCCAATTCTCAGGAATAGCGAATTCTAAAGAGACGAAAGGTCATCACGTCTGATATTACACAGTGCTTTGCTCTCTAGAATATTGAATAAATTGTAAAATTAGGTCATGGCTTTGATTATACAGATTACTGTAATTGCATGATCCAGAATTTATTTCTGTCGACAATCGAATAAGGTCGGGTTAATGCCGAACGCCGGGTCAAAACCTCGATTATAATACATACTTATGTCACTTTTGGTTTCTGCAAAAGAACAAAGTAGTTCTTGGCACGGGTCAACTGCTGACGAAAGAATTTTTACGCCATCTTCAATAGTTCTCCAAATCTACTCTCCCAAACGTTTACTCGTCGATTTCAAGAATAACACGAAATATTGTTCATACCCAAAATGTGCTGTTGTAAAAAGCGCCTGTTTTATGGAATATTTATAAACATTTTTAATGAGTTTCTCCGGGGCTATGCGGGTGACATTTTAAAATGCTTTGGTACAACTTTTGTAATTAAAAATTTTGAATAGTTAACTAACTTTATATACCTACACATTTTGGAGCAATATTAAGTAAATCTGTAAATACTGCTAACTACAGTTTTTCATATTAATATACAATATGCGATATTCGAAAAAGCTTGTTCGTTGGAAATGAATAACTTTTTTCTATTAATTTTATAGTGTGGAGTTATTTACTATTAAATTAGTAGATTTTATTTAGCTCTTTTTTTCTTGAAAAGCTAACAAAATAATTTCGTTGTTGTTTACACACGTGCCTAAAAAGTTTTTGCCAAAGGGCACCTAGCTAAAAGTGGAACTTTTATTTATTTAGTACTTTTCTCTGATGGCCTCTTTCACTAAGGAGGCCACTAGCCTTCTCAAGACATCTTCTTTATCTGTTGTCCAACTTTTTCACTGAAACAAGCAGAAAGGAGCAATAAAAGATGTATTAAGGGCGATTTAGTTGAAATGCGTCGCTAGTGCTGTGCCGAAGCTTTTATATGGGATAATATTTCGGAAGTATTTATCTCAATAAATTATCAGCTTCTTTTGTGGAAATCGAAATGGAAATGCACGCAAAAGAGTTGCTAAACGGATATCGATAATAATATATAAGTAGTGAATGTCATTTTAGCTGCTTATTATAGGATCCACTTATTATGAAAGGACCTTGTTGAATATTCTTCAATCCCACAATATGTCTATAGATGGCGTTCACTATGCTGTTCGTACTTATTCCTTAAACGCTGTTTAGTTAGCAGTATGTATCTTCGTCAGTGTTCTATCGAAGCTAGATCCTGAATAGTGTGATACAAACTCAAACGAATAAGGTTAGGGCGTTTTAATGGTTAATGCGACTAAAGTAATAGTTACATTATCATTCTTAGTTCCTTGCTACGTAGCACATGAGTGTGGTATTTATAAAATGCGGTGAAAATTATCCTCGCCAAACAATTTGACAATGTTGAAGCAGCTTATTCTTTAATAGCGATTATATGTTCCCCTTCAAAGTGTATCAATTATCCTTATTCTAAATGTAGTATTTGACAGTTTCGCTGAATGTTTGGAAGAGATAAGAATACTAAAATGGATGTTATTGGAGAAAATAAGTAAGAAGGTTTTCATAAGATACCTAAGTTACCTTTGCAAGATGATATTGTTAGTGTTAAAATGATTCTGTTGAGTGGCTACTTTGTTCAGAATTGTTGTCACGAATTTAGCAAATATACCGATTCCAACTTCAATGTGGCATGTGATTCTTCGGAATGAAATTATTCTGAACAGTTGTGGCGTTAGATTTAATTAAACTAAGTAATATATCGTATTCCCACTACATCACTTACTTGTGTGTGGTCCTTTGGAGATAAGGTTTCTCTCATGGAAAGTGACATCAGTAGTTCTTGAGCCAGTTTCTGTTTTCCAAAGGCAACTGCTCCACTTGTTACCATGATACATTCTCGCCCTTCCAATTGACATTCTGCCACCTACAGGTATAAAAGTTGATCTTAAAATGATGTCTAAATTTAAAACAACAAATCTTAATACAATGCCAAAGTTCAGTCCTTTAACATTTTATAAAATTTTTTGGTAAAACGCTAGTATATAACGCTCTATTATTAAAGATATTAAATTTCGACTCCTTTTGTTTAACTAAATAGGTTTAGTAAAAGTTTTTTGAGCAATTGTTATTAAGACTGCCTTCATTCACTCAGTAAAATTTTCTGTGGTAAAGTTGATTACCTCACACTCCTATTCTTTATCACTGTCCTGCAAATATCAACATGCACCTAGAAAATACTATATAAAATACATTCTAGACGCGTACACGATGCAGAGAATCATGACAGGAATGATTAAGTTACCAGTATGAAATTGTCTTTGACATTTGTACAAATGTCATTTCTACATTTTTGTGTGCAGAGGTGTGAACTCTTCTGATGAATATATATGCATATATAGTGTAGCGTCTGTGCTGTGCTATCGTTATTTTCACATTTCGCTTTGAAACACTATTTCTATTTTTTGGCTTGGATCCGTGCACCACAAAAGCCATTATCGCGAATAGACACACCGACATGCATGAATTGAAAGCGTCTGATAAACAAGAACGAAAACGTAGATTGTGTTAATTATTTTATGGAAAAAAACGGATTCATATCCAATTGAATACATGACCGTTTTATTTGGAGGAAACTAGAAACCAACGTTACTGTTCTCTTTTTAAAATTCTCAGTTAAAATAGATATATTCCAAAAATAATTTCTTTAAAAATATTCTATTTATGACTGGTACTCATATAATCATACCATCATCGTCATTTAGTATTCTGTCTCGCATTTCTCGAAAACTAGAGCAGTCTGCATCTCTATTTTCAAGCTGTAATCTAATCTAAGGTCGTCCATGACCATCTTTGCTCTTGTTTCTGCTTCTAGTAGATCTCTCACTACCTACTTCTTTATGCCTCAAAAGTCCACCTCATCGGGCCTATTCTTTATTAACTTTCATAGCGTCCTCTGTTCTCATTACTTCTTTTCACGAAAATTTTGATAGGTATTCTCCTAAAAAGCGCTCAACTTCCAATTTCTCCAGATTTTCTCGAAAAGTTTGTATTTCTTCAGCATTCTTATGAAGTTTCAATTTATTTTAAACAATATAAGTTCCCTAAAACCACGCAAATGGTCCCGAGATAAGACTCATTTACATGCACGTAAAATAAACCTTATCTAGATCGTTTATAAGAAGTTAATCTTCAAGTTTGTGTGACTAGAAGATAATGGGGTGGTGGAATTATTGTAGTTAAGCTTGGTTTAGAATCGGAGTTGCATTTTGCCGCACAGTTTGAGCATTTTGGAAATAATTGAAACAACCTGCGGCGATAGAAACAATCGCAAGACGGAAAGGGAGGCACAGAATGCTTCGTGTTTCTGGTTCAGTCGAATCATCCTTTAGTACCGTTTTATCAAATTAAAGTGGTATAAAAGGAAGAGAAAGCTTAAACATAAATTATCGCAATAACAAATTTAAACTTAGCACAATGCTCAAAATATAGGAAAAGCTGTTCAGTGACCTACAACAAGAACAGTCGATTGAATGTGTGATATTGGGGAGGGGTGACCGCTAAGCTATAGATATTGTTTGATACTAAAACTGTTTTAGTCTGTTAGCCTTGTAAACAGTTCGATAGTGCTCTATGTTATTTTTTTATTGCATTGTTCCAGTTTCATAAAATTCCTGAACCGTTCATCGAGTGAAGCCGCGTCGTTTTGCCGGGTATCAAATATTCCCGTGTAAAAATCCAATTTGTTGTGACAACGGACGTTTAGCAGGCAACTCGGTCCACAAGGATAGAATGGGCATTTTTGAGTTTATAATCGTTTCCAAACTGTTGCTTTAGAACGAGAAAAGGGATGTTAATTTGTACGCTCTCTAAAAAGGAATCGGTGGATTTTCGCCAATTTTTATGAATATCTGCTAATTTAATAGGAAAGGTTAGAAATGAGGAGGGTAGGAGAACCAAACGGAGTTGTGAGAGTTAATAAGATATAGACGAGACAAGTTGGTAGGACACCTTCTGAAGGGCTAATTAGAGACATATTAGAAACAGAAGCAGGGTTTAAGTGGATGAGCGATATGCCTAGATTGGATTAGAATAAAGATGTCGGTTGCTCTAGTTATCGGGAAATTTATGTAAGTTGAACATAAATCGCAACTAATTCGTATGTTCCATAATATACGTTCCACCTTTTTTTACAAATGTAGTACCTATATCTATAGCGTTATGAAATGTTACCACCACAATCAGGCGCGCTTCCATATTTTGAATAAAAGTTTTGCGTAGATAACATACTATTTGTAGGAATAATATAGATACGTATCACTAATATATATTACGAAAAGTTTAAATCCATTAAACTATGGAAACTATTCATTCAATAATTTAAATCGGACTTGATTCAAAATGTCGAACAAAGAAACTAATTAATTAAAACGAATGGTTGTGTTAGGTCAATGAAACATATATATTAAGTATATGGAAAAGTGACTGATTTTGGCAACCGACATATGGAATTTAATAATTAATGTGTTTGCAGTAATAATATTAATCTATAGCCGATAATTTAACTCAATCTGATACAACGCATACTATTCTATCATTAATAGTTTTCAATTTCACTTAATGCTACAATCGAGTATTAAGCTCTCATTCGTACATTTCAAACATTCAAATACATGTACATAAATTGTGGTCTGCAACCTGCATATTGCGATAATCAGGCAATAAATTTAAATTATTTATCTGCGAGAATTAGCTGACCATTAACACTTCTATTGCAGTTATATATTAAACAACAACAGAGGGAAGACAATGTGAATAACGAAACGCGCAGTGTCTGTTTTGTTTAACTTTTTCCTATGCCGTTTTCCTTTTCCAGTACTCCGAAAGCTATTCTTCAATACTTTCCTTTGACATCCTCATATGTTCCGGCGATCATTGTCTCTATCTGAATATAACATATTATATCTTTAGCAGCTTTTTTGCTTGGTCGGTAATTTATCGATACTGCCTCTATTTGGATATATTTTTGTTGTTCTAAAGTTTGTTGACGAATGTAAATGCCACATGAATCTTTTGGCAAACTAAATAAAGCTCACAATTACCTAATAAAGTAGTTCTTTCGAGCTGCTCTATCAGTTATGATCAATTGTTTATGTTTGACTTAAGTAATAACGATTTATTCGTGTTTCATTGATATTTCTCTGTTTACTCAATTGATTTTAATTTTTTATATTCGGATATAAATTTACGGCATTCTTCTTCTTGTGGAAGCGTTTTCGTTTAGAGCTTAAGCGAGAGATGCAAACTGTAACGTATTTAAACAGTTTAACTGCCGTAAAGTCTGCCATCTCCGTTTATTGTGCGGTTTCTCGATGCTCTAATCACAGTCGTAGTTCTCTAGACTGGTCTTTATCGGGTGCCTGGGCTCCTAGTCAGACATTCAGTATCGCAAGTTTAACGTATCCATCGAAGCACGTTCGAACTTTGACAATTCGAGAACTATCCAGCGCTTCGAAATACCTACCACAGTATGTACAATTCTAGCGTAATGTTCTACTCTTTGAATTTGATTTACCTAAAGTGGGTTAGGTTAATAAGTAACTATAGACACCGTATTAAACGACATCTACAGACATTTGCCGCTAACGTGAGTGTTCAATAAGGTCCTTTTCAGTCACCGCTCCACCTTCACTTTAATAATATTATCACTGCTAATCACCACCAGCTTAGGCTGTTTGAAATATTGTCGACTGAGCAAGAACTTATCTGGGTTTGGTTAGGTTACGTTTGCAAGGAGGAAGAAGGTGTATTTAAGTGAGTCTTTTAATATTGAATTGAATTGTACTTATGTGTGTGTGTTTTTATTGCTTTCCATTCTGCTAAATTGCTCGTCAAATTCTTTTCTTCCTTCTTTTTTCCTTGTGACCTTTACACTTGACTGCAACCATATAAATCTTAATAATTCAACCACTTCTGAGTATAAATGTAAGCCGTAGAGGAAGCGGTAATAGAAACCTTTACATCAATATCCTTTATCAATAATACAGCGGACACTCACTGAAATTAGCTTTAATAAAATTTTTAAAGGATTTTGTTTTTGGGGTATCACAATAGATATCACAGCGTATGTATATGTTCCTACACGAAAATAAATTTAACTGCGTTGTACTTCTTTACTGTGTCCTTATTAAATGTATATATACCATACGTATAGTCAAACTTTAAAGTAGTTTCAATCGATATATCCTTCATATGTTTACGTATATGTCAAAAATGAAATGTGAGCTTCCTTTGTACACATCGAGGATGAAGGTTTGTTTGTTTTCCTATTTATGAAACTTCCAAGATTATTTTTGCTTCAGATTTATCCATTAGGCATTAAAATTAAACTTGCTTATATCAACAAAAATATATTCCAGTAAAGGCGGTCCATTTCGGATGAAAAGCGTTCGAATGGTATTGAAGTTTACAAAAGATTTGTTTATACACGTAGTCTGTTTAATCCTAAGTTAGAAACTCTGTACGATTAAGTTTGCCAGGCAGAACGTTCTCTTTTTTTAGTCGGAATAAAAGTTGAATAAAGTTGGTCAGGGTAATATCTTCCGTTCTCGAAAGTTAAGCTGGCCGTGCGTTGAATAGCTTACCAACTTTATTAAGATTTTCCCTTAAACGAAAACTTGGAGCAGTTTTCTCTGCATCATTTTCTGTCTTCGGACTATTTCACATGCCTAACCGATATTGAGCTGCTTCTTCACAACTGATACGTAGGTATGTTATTCAGAACACAAAGTTAGATATAATTTAAGTTCACACCACTTGCGTACGCATAAAACGATATAGGCGTAGTCTATAGGAGCCCAAAATTACGTTTTGAAACGTATCCGTATTGATTATATGGACTACGACTGAAACGCAATATTTAAATTACCGACATAACAATCATTAGAATTTCTTGAATACATTTGCGGAACATCTTGATTTTATCTTTCTAANGCCGTGCGTTGAATAGCTTACCAACTTTATTAAGATTTTCCCTTAAACGAAAACTTGGAGCAGTTTTCTCTGCATCATTTTCTGTCTTCGGACTATTTCACATGCCTAACCGATATTGAGCTGCTTCATTACAACTGATACGTAGGTATGTTATTCAGAACACAAAGTTAGTTATAATTTAAGTTCACACCACTTGCGTACGCATAAAACGATATAAGCGTAGTCTATAGGAGCCCAAAATTACGTTTCGGAACGTATCCGTATTGATTATATCGACTACGACTGAAACGCAATATTTAAATTACCGACATAATAATTATTAGAATTTCTTGAATACATTTGCGGAACATCTTGATTTTATCTTTCTAAATTCACTTTTTTAACTGACTGAAATGATAACCTCACCCACTTGACAAATGTGGTTTTACTTAAAGTTTCTCCTGATGAGAAATTTCGTCCATATTCACCTGCTCAACGATCGATGCAAGTCTGCCTAATGCAAGACCATGTTCATCTTCTCTTGTTATTACTGCACTTCCTAATTTGACTACAAGACGTCGAGCGTATTTCAGTTGACTCCGATCTGTAAATGTAGTGTGCTTCCTATCGATAGCTTGTGTAGCGTACAACTGTCCATTGTTCTGAACCTGTAACAGAAAAAAAGGCAATTATCACTATGAATGTTGCTATTGCATTATATTTACACACCGAAAACTTTTAATATCGAAGCTTAAGCAGCCGAACGCTTATTTCGACATGAAAAATTTTCCTTACGAATAGTATAAGAAAGCAACTGAAATTTTTATCTGTGTTGATTAAGGCATATTGTTTCATTGAAGAGAATTAGTAAACATATACTGCTGTTATGAAATAATATGTCTTTTATTTGTAATCCTGTCATAGTCGAAATTGAGTGTAAAAGAAAATGGTTAGTCAATAGCTGGTTGAAAAAAAAAGTGAAAATTTTCGCTAGTTTGGATCTCGTAATTCATGTTGGCTCGAAGGAGTCGGAATAAAAAAAATGTAAAAGAACTTCGGTATAACCTACCCCATTATTAATTATGAAAGGAAGACAAAGAACCTTCTTAATGTTTTAACTAAAACCATTGAAGAAGGGTAGCAGCACGGTTCTGTTAATTAAAACTGTTAATTGCGACATTATTTATAGAAATTTAATGAGACGCTTCTAAAAGGTCGTTTACTGCTAATATTTTTCTTTTAAACTATAACGAAAAATGTATATTTTGTACATAAACATAATACTTTTTTATCATCTCTAAAACTAGTGGACTAATTCTGAAAGTTCCTTCATTCTAGGATATTTTTTTAAAAAAATAAGTAGGTTTAGATCATTTTAAATCTTAAGTGGGTGTATATTCGCTATTCCTGACTATCCAAATATCAACTGGATGGTGTGACTTCTGTAATATACGAGGGGTGTCCAATAGGGATGATAATTGATTTGTGTGGGTATGTAAATACGTAACTATATCAGGTAGCATTCACTATCTATGAGACAAGGTGACTTTAATAGATATCTCAAAATTTCAAAAGCTTTCCGGAATAGCAGAAGAGCATCGAATCCTGATTGAACCGGCAGCACAAGAAATCTGATACAAAAGAACTTATTAGGCAAGAATTTGCGATTAGTTTGCACAATTCAGAGGTTGTCGGATGATTTTGTACGGGTCGCTACTCAACGTTCGGAGTAGAGGAATGTAGTGATTTAAAAAGTGGACGATGTCATCATGTTTGATCGTCGTAGAGGATCCGTTTCTCAAAGGGAGAGCCGTCTGGGAGTGTACGAGGGATTGAAAGAACTCGCACAGATTGACTCTGATTTTTTGTCATAAGTTATCGCAGGAGATTAATCTTGGCGTTACGGCTGTGACCCCGAAGCAAAACAGCAATCCAGTTACTGTTGGAGACCTACATAGATACGACTAAGAAAACACTGCCCAGCAAGTGAAATTTATTCCTCTCAGAACACTATATTGTGCGTGAATCAAGATGAAAATCTCGAACTGTGGCAATCAAGAGACTGGCTGTTTCATCTCGTATAGCGTTGAAAATCAACCCCATGCGGCATTATTTCTCAAGAATGATGAAAAATTTCAACGGAAAACATTTTTGCGATGCAGAGGGGGTCAAAAAATCGCTAGAAACATCAATAATGTTATATATGTTACAGTATACTAGATATTCAGGTACATGGTGATTGATCCGATTGCTCTTCATTTCCATAAAAACGCAGTCGTTGTAATACTACCTTCGTCAGACGTATTGTATTTTCCTATTTCCATAATATAAAGTGTTCTTAGAATTTTTTATTTTGACGGTATAATGTGATAAGTAAACAGATGCCTGTAAATGGATGCTAGAAAAATTTCCGACTTATCGGTATCGATGAAACCTTAATCTAGGACATGACTGATCGCCGTAAGCATCTAAAGGAAAAAAGTGATTGATATTTCTCGAAAACTGAATTACCTAACTATAGAAGAGAAAAACGATACCCATGAATAATTTATTTAGTAAGAATTGTATATTATTTATGTAATGTGCTGGATTCCAAAAGAATTCGTTTATTCAATAGTGACTTATTTCCATATAAAAAGCAGAACTAGAATAAATAGAAAAAAGGTCTAGACTTGGTTTAACTGGAAACTGGTTATTTATCATTACATTGTAATGTTAACTCTATATCACAATTTACAAAATGCTAGTTATTCGAAAAGTCTATTGGGTATTTATAATTTGAAAATTCCAGCTTCAGGAGTTATTCGAAATATTCGCACACCTCTGGTAAAAGCATATTATTAATAAAACACATTCTGCGTTTGGACAAGTCTACCCTCAATTTCAACCCTCAAGTACCAAGTAGATTTTCGCGAAGAATGTAGTCAAATTTGAAAAGCATCGCAGGTATTTAATTATTATTCATCTTTATTAAAAAATACAAAATCTTACTGGCGAATGTTAAATGGACGCTAGGGAGTACGTTTTGCGTATAAGAAAATTGGCATCATTAAGAGTGAACGATGTCGCCCAGAAGCTGCATCAGCATCAAGCATCGCGAACTGGCGCAAACTCAATTTTATGCAAACCGTTATAGCTATCGCGCGACTACTAGGTTGTATGTAGGTAGGTGATGATAAATCGAGCGACTCCAATTGAAATTTAAATGCAGAAATCCCTCGGGTCCAAACGGCACGGTTTGCGTTCGCAGGTACCTCTACTTTTGTGACTCTCGATCTCTGTCAGCGTTGCAAATGGAAATTGTGTACCAATGTTTTAACAACTTGACGTTTAGCAAATTAAAAAAGTTGGATATCGGAAGCAATTGCGAATGCTTGAAACATCGATCGCAATTCACTTGTTCGTATTTCGGTTACTCTGATCAAGTTACAAACGATTAGATACGAAATTTTTAGAGCGCACTTTTAGATGAATTGATTTGTACGACTTTATTTTAACAATTTTGTTACTAGAGCTCGATGATTTTTGAAGTTACGTATATATCTATCGGTTAATGTGTGCTCCACATTTCTGGCATGCACGTTCCAATAATTGTAGGTATTCTAATACACAGACGCAGTGATTGTTACAAAAACGTTTTACTAATGCAGCATAACAACCTGAAGAAGCTTTTCCTTGTACAACATCACATTTTGTTAAAATATAATAAGAATCTATACCGTACTGCTTATTTAAGCTTTGATGTGCTTCATGATGGTTATTCGAAAGATATGATAGATTTGCCAGTAACGTCACAAAACATTAAATTTAACATAAAATGCCAAACTTTGAAAAGAATCGAATCGATAGGAGGCCTTGTTGCTGGAAAATCACTTAGGCAAATTGGGAGACTACCGAGGGAATAGAAAATGACGAAAGTTTGAACAATTTCGTTTTCACATTCAAAAAACAACCTTAGCAGGATTCGCCTCTTTGTAAAATTAAAGGTCTTGTTTGTACGAATTTGAACAAATCATGTAATTATATATATACAGTAGGCAAATCAGAAAGTTTCGTCTTGATTAACATCAGTTTATCGCACCTTGCTCTGACAAGTGAATGTAGATTAACGAAATGCAAATGAATTTTGTCACTTTCAAATTTATTCTGACCGCTCAACAAGATTATGCTGGGTTTGCATAATTTTCACATTCATCTGTGCGTTTCGCGGTTATTACAATTCCTAACCCGCCAGGAAAATGCGTGCGAATTACAGCCGATGTCATTTTCACGAACAGGCCACAAACGCATAGTGAAGTGAAGCTGGAGAATCCGTTTTATGGTCGTGATATGTGTCCACGTGATGAGAATTTATTCAGGAATACGAGAACTTAAACTAGGTACGATGAGATACATAGTCCGTCCAACAAATACACGAACTCTGAGCTTCTACGATTGCGTTACACAATCTGGTTTCTTTGACGGAGTAAAGAATGGAAATGAAAAATATGTCGAAAAACTCGATCCTAAGTGAATGGTGCGCTGCTCACTTTCTTTATAAAGTTGTCCATCGCGAATTTCTTTCTGAAGAACGAGTAATGTTCGTAGAAATTGTTGCATGCATCATGATAATGCGCCTAGACATCGAACAGTAATTGCTTCTGGAGAGTAATTCTATCACCACGATCCCTACTCACCAGATAGTTCTACGAAATTTCTTCTTGTTACCCAAATGTAAAATAGTCATGTAAGGGTGGCACTGGAGGACGTTGGAACGATAAAAAGTAAAATCATGAGGCAGCTAAAGACCCTGGTCTCTGAAAACTTCCAGAGATATTTAGAACAGTGGACACGGCAATAGGATAAGTCTATCTTTGTGTCGAAAGTTAAAAATTGGTTCGCTCCAATCTACCTATGTATTTGTTGTATCAGTTCCATATCACAACCTCAAACGGGTTTATCCCATTTAATCCTAGAATCTGAAGAAATCTCTACTTTAGACTACCCTAATTGATACATAGATTAACCATTATAATTTCTCACGGAATTCGAGCCAACCTTTCCTGACATAAAGTTACTTCTTATAATGAAGCTCGTTTAACTTTTAATCGTAAATTTCTGGCCTGCTGTGGCTTCATATCTAACAAAGTTTAGAATCAATACCTTTCAAAGAGCCTCTCACCGCGATAAAAGATGATAACGCTTGTCAAGGGAATTTGTTTCTCAGAAAAACAACCTTTTAACGGCTGGGGACGTTTATATGTGAAATATGAGCATCTTTATGTTTGCCCAATAAAGTTTGTTGATGTTTTTCTCTCCTTGTTTCACTTTGAAATGCAAAATCGATAACAATAAAAATTCCAACAAGTCTAGAAGTAGCGAACTCTCTTATTAAAATGTTTCAAAGACTTTCAGACAATAGCAATTGGAAATTTTACTACACGGAATTAAAAATTTTATCATTTATTTTTTTAAATAGAAACGATCACCAGCTCAAGAACTTTTTTATTTTCCGTTATCGTATGCGTCGTTCCGTTTTATCTTCCTATTGCTAGTTTAATATATGTATGCCTGTTAAAATTGGTTTTCCCCTTATGGCAGCTCTGAGCTTCAGTTGTTTGTTTACAAGAAGGGTCGACGTCTACGCTACGGCTTAAAAAAAAGTTTTAAATCAAATCACGTCTTCACT